ACCTCCCCAAACCCCACCCCCAAATATAATCCATTCTGCAACCCTCATTGCGTACTCCTACGATAAAAATAATGCCCTAAAAATAAATAAATACATAAATAGATAGATAGAAAAAAAATAATGCCCTAAAATATAATACTTTTAGACTATTCTCTCCCCCATAGACTTCAACGCCGTAAACATATTTCGGAATGAAATAGTTTTGATGGCGTTTTCTGGGTGGATAAGGATTGTTTTATTTATTCTCTTCAGTGCTTTTCTCCTCTGTTGTTACTCTACCAGGCAGACAAACTATAAATATGTTAGATAAGATCTGGCATATTGATTCCAGATACTAAGTTTGTCTCTTATACGTACATCTGTGTATTATAGAATAGTTGAATGTGACAGTTAATTCCATTATTCAAATTCAACATAATGGAAGAGTGTCTACTATAGTTGGGTCTAGATATATATTGCTGGGTGCCCTGAAGCTATGTCTGGCCCATTGTACCCATTTGACACAGTAGAACTGTCCCAGGGGATTCTCCTGTTGTCTTTATGAGGGTACATCTGTGGAGCTGCTGGCTGGCTTTGAACTACCAACCTTTTGTTTAACAGAAAAGCACTTGATTGTACCACAAGGGCTCCTTAGGATATAAATAGATATCTAAGAAGGTCACAGAGAGTTTGTCAACAAAATTGGTAACAAAGGCAACCTTTATGATGTTGTCTAATTCTTTCATGTAATTATATTTGTAACTTTGTTCTGTTGTTTTTATGCCAACATGATGTGAGGGTTTTGTTTTTCTTTTTAATTATGAAGGCACTTCCTCTTATAATCTGTGACCAGCTTGGGGATGAATGTTGATAATTTCTAAATGCTAAAAGACAGATGCTATGCTTTAACACATCTTCCTGCAGGAAACAGACACTCACTCTAGATATTTGCTTCCTAATATACACAATAGCTATGCAGCTGAATAGTCAAGACTTCTTATATGTGGGTGTTTTTTTTTTTCTTTTTCTCATCGATTTCCTTTCGCAATGAGATAGGTCATGATGATAAACTGTTTTAATGAATAACTTATCTACTTAGGAAAGGCAGACTGCACAAACAGTAAGCCCCATTTGATTGAGAACTATTAAGATGTCAGCAGCAGAAAGAATGTTCTGTTTCAACAATAATAGACTCATCTCCTCCCCATGCCTCAATACTGGTTACAGCATTGACTTGCTGTGCTTACCAATGTGAAAATCTTCTGGTCCCTAGGAAATAATTTTCTGAAATGCAGGAAACAAATGTGCCCAATCCTGATTTTTTTTTTTTTTGCCAAGAACTGAAATGTAGAATCACCATTTACTAATTGTTAGAGCCAAGCTTTGAAACTGCATTTAAAAAGCTAAAATATTGGATCCGTGTTCTTCTTTACATAAACAGAAATTTATTGATTGAAAACCAGGATATATCATATAAAAGACTTATTCAAAATCACTCCATTATAGACAATGTTCATGCGAAAATACAAACTTCTGAATATTTTTCATGTTTAAACAGGTATTTCATTTCAGGAGCTAACTTTGGAGGAAATTCCCTTTGCATTTCTCTGGCACAGGCTCAAGATGTATTAAGTAAAACACATACACACACTGAGACCTACATATCCACACTACCTTTATAGGGGGATGCATGTATAAAGCATATATATTACTGAGAAGATGCAAAAGAAGTTTTTACAAAGGGCTCAAATTTCTGTAAAACAAAAAGTCTTCAAATGCAAGGGTTTTGTAGTTAATTTTTTTCTTTTCTTATGTAACTCAGTCATTGAGTTAAATCTTATTATATATTACATCCTAAAGAAATAACATCTTTGCCACAAATAGATATTTGCAGACTTATAATCATTGTAGCATTATTCACAATAGCAAAAAGAGGAGATAACTCAAGTGTCCATCAATGGGTGAATGGCTAAACAGATTGTGAGACATAATACAATGTAATCCTGTACTCAAAACTCCGTGTATAAGGAATGACGATGAACCCACAATGCACCTCAAAACGTGGCTGAATGTGGGGACAATGTGCTGAGTCAAGTAAGTCAATCACAAAATGAGAAGTATTGTGTGCGATCACGACTTTAAAAAGTCAAGAACAGGTTTCCATGCAGAAAGAAACATTCTTTGATGATTACCGGGGATGGGGTGGAGAGAGAATCACTAACTGGATGCTAGGAAACATCCAAACATATTGCCTTCGAGTTGGAACTGATTTATAGCTCATCCTTCAGTGGGTTTTCAGAGCTTGTAACTCACAAGGGGAAATTGCCCATCTTTCTCCTGAGGAGCCATTGGTAGATTGGAACCTCTAGAGTTAACAGTGCAACTAACTCCCTATGGACTGTGTCACCAGTAGGTAGGTGTTAATTTGAGTGAAGGTAAAGACAATATGCAATTCAAAATCAGTACAGCTTGAATGAGGCAAGGAAGATACAGATGTTTCAAGAACAGAGAGCAGTTATATTATTTAACATACTGTAAAAAGCAATAACAATAATTTGGGAATGGACACAAAAGTAGAAATGCATGCTAAATAGTTGTGGGAGGTTAAATGAGAAAATACCTATGTGCATATGTAATCGTAGGGCTCTGGATATTTTTACATGTGTATTTGCAAGTGTAACATGCACAGGCATGCTTCGGAGATATTGGGACTTTGGTTTCAAATCACTGCAATAGAGTATCTCAGTAAAGTAAGTCACACACATTTGTTTGGTTTCCCAGTGTACATTTAAGAAAGTTATGCTTACATTATACTAAAGCCTATTAACTGTGCAGTAACATTGTGAAAAAATTTGGATTAACGTAAGAATTACCAAACCTGACAGAGGCATGGAGTAAGCACATGCTGTTGGGAAAAAAATGATGCCAATAGACTTGCTGGATGCAGAGTTGTTACAGATCTTGAATTCGTAAAAATGCTCGGTTAACTACAAAGTGTAATAAAATGAAGTGCAATAAAACGAGGCAGGTTTATTCATCTATGTAATAGAACACATAGGGGATGCAGTTAGAAATGTTTCTTACGTAATACAACACCTAACGAAAATCAATTCTAGACCTTAAAGGCTAAGGACTAAAGTCTCAAGGTCAGTTGGTACACAGCTCATAAAGATAATGTTCTAATTTGCTGAGCAGTGGCTGAAGTCTTAAAGCTTCTGAGCGGCCATATAAGAAACAGCTCTTGTCCTCTTCCCATCTGAAGTAAGGGGGGAATGAAGAAAAACCTAAGCTAAGGAAGCAATTAATTCAAAGGACACATGGCTGACATGAACTACAGCTTCCTTTAACCTGAGATCAGAAGATCTAGAAGGTTACCGGCTGCCCCTACCCACCTTTCTGTCCAGGAGCACAATCAAAGGTCCCTGTTAGAGTGGGTGAAAAATGGAGAACAAAATTTAAATTTGAAAAGAGCAGACTTACTTGTCTGTCAGAAACTGGAGGAATCTCCTGAGGCTATAGCCCTAAGAAAGCCTTCTGGCTTGGAAATGAAGCCACTTCTGGAGACTGATCTATAAAATAATAATAGGGGAGGAATGTGGACATAAGAGACCAAAAAACAATATTTGTCAAAAATAAAGATGAAAAAGTGGAAAGGTGGAGAGGGGTAGGGGAACTTGACAAAGGGAAACAGGGAGACCAGAGCAGAAAGGGCAGGTGTTGACTTATTTCAGGAATGGTAACCAATGTGACAGAATAATGTGTCCGCGAGCTGTTGAACAGAACCCTAATTTTCTATGTCAACTTTCACCTACCAGCATAATGAAATGTTAACTTGAAATGGATGAACATTGATCAGAGAAGACTCTATGTTCTTTTACATCTCTATGAGCAAGTCAGGGTCACAACATAACTTCTTCTTGGTGTGAAAGGAATCCCAACATGATCAAACATAGCCAAAAAGACCCCCAAAACCCAAACCAAAAAAACCCATGTTATTCCATTAGAAATAAATTCAATAGCAGAAAATCAGAATGTTTCTGGGCCATTATATGTCTGTTCTTTTAAAGTAATTTAATTTGAAATTTCAAATGTGTACAAATTCAGAGGTTTAAGAAATTTCAAAAGCCATAGGCAAGCATTTAGGAAGCAGAAGGCTGAGAACTTCCCTGCTCACTTAATCCATGCTTGATTTTACACTCCTCACAGGTGAGCAGACAGTGCCTGGAACAGAAGCAGAAAAAGATCACTATTTGTATGCCAATACTAGAAACTCTGGTCTTAACACAGCGACATTTGCCATGCTAATGTTTTCTCGCCTAAGTTTCCAGGTATTAAAAGGAACTGCTTCTAGGTTTGAAATGCCTACATTTTCATTCAAAACAAAGATTAATACATTAAGAACAGCAGCAAGAAAAGGCCTTTATTGAAACAGATGGTCACAGTTGTAAGCTGAATTACTGAGGGGTGGAATATTTTGACCTTGCTAAAATTTGAGTAGTTCTACCCATAGCACAAAAAACGTCAAAATACACAGAGTATTTATCTAAGATATAACTATATGTCTGTGCATTTAAAGGGAGAAGTTCTGATGGCTTAGTGGTAAGGAGTTGCGTTGCCAACCCAAAGGCAAGGAGTTCAAATCTATGAGCTGCTTCTTGGGAGAAGGATGAACAATCTCTTCCTGTGTGATTTACTCATAGCTGAGGGCTCAACTATGAGTCTGTTCTGACTTGACAGTACATAACGAAAACACAGAAAACAAGGAGTCAGTGGGTAGAGGGAAGAGTGAAGCACTCAACTATTAAACGAAAGGTTGATGGTTTGAGCCTACTCAGAAGTACCCCACTCATAAAAGAGACTTGGCGACCTCCTTTTGAGAGGTCACTAACATTAGCCTTGAAAACCCTAGGGAGCAATTCAATTCTGCACACATGCTGTTGTGTTGTTGTTGTTTGCCACTGAGTTGGAACAGACCCTCCAGTGGGTTTTCAGAAGCAGTAACTGCGTAGAAGGAGATTGCCCATCTTTCTCTCGCAGAGCAGCTGGTGGATTTGAACTGCATGCCTTTGGGATTGCTGTGCAGATTCTCACCACAAGGCCACCAGCGCTCCCTCTATACACCTAGTCATAAAATGGAGTTGACTTGACTGGGCAACAACCACAATGATGCACTTAGGTCTGGTGATGCCGCCTCTTATTTGATGCACATGTGTACCTTTCCACATTTTTTTCCAATGAAAACAAAAATTTTAATGACATTTGCAGAATCCCTGCTCTCTTGGTTATCTAGCTGCTTAACAATTTCTTCAGGATCTAATGCAATACTGGGGCAAAAGGAATGGCTTTGTCACTGAATGTTATTAGCATACGAAGCATAAAGGTCCTCAAGGTCTTTCCCAGCATTAAAGCTTTAGAACCGAAGAGATTCAATTAAAAACACCCTCCCCACTGATGAGTGTCTACTGCTATAAAAGAGCTTGCAATCAAAAGTCTTTCAATTAAGCAGGGACGGTGATGGCATGAGAGCTGCATTGCAGAACGGTTAATGACTTAGGTGAGAAGGATGACTGTGAAGGCAGCAAAGCCAGAAGCTGCTATTGCAAGGCCACTCTCTTCTCCTTTTTATCACTTACTTCAATGCTTACTGTCAATGCTTTGACAGCAAAGTCGAAATTCTTAGCATGATATAAATTCCTCCTGCTACTAATTGGTCCCTCCTTGGCTGCCTAGCTCTCAAGTCTGCCCTCTGCCACTCCCCAATACTGCCCTATGCTCTAACCACAGAAGCTATCTGTGGTCCCCTTAATAAGTAAACATTTCTCCTTTTCATGCTACTCCTGGCTTAGAATCCCTTTCAAAGAACTTCATAGAACAACTTTTGTAAAGAATCTTGAACATTCAAGTGAACCACCATCATCTCCTCCAGGAAGCCTTCCCTGATGACTTCATTTTCATCCTTGTCTTAAACTTCAACTTAGTTTAGATGCTCTGTTCTGCTTTTCTTTAATTAGAGAGACAACTCCTCTGAGATGTGCTAGTTAGTAGTCCTTCATATAGACCCTTGTAATTGGTTACTAGTATCCATGCAAGCCCACTTCTGAAGCCTCCAGGGCTGCCCTTTATAGCTCAGAATGGACAAGTGAAAATGCACTCACAGAAGGTACAGTTTAAACGTGACCTTGAAAGATCATTGACTTTGACCACATGAAGACCAGAACAACGAGAATTGTCTGAAAATTGGAAATGTTAGTCTTGTGCTTATCGCTTTTCTGGAACCCAATGTTGCTTAATTGCAGAAGAAACTCACATAATTAAACAGGAAGAGGAAGCAGTCAGCAAAACCCTCTGCTTATGCTGCTCCCCACCCGCCCCCGCCACTGTCTCCACACAGATGAGAATCACGTGGCCAGTTATTCCTCAGCAAGCTGTCTCCCAAACAGAGCATTACGAGGAGGGGCTGGAGTTGGTGTTGTCTATAAATATAAAATTAACGACTGCGTGGTGACCTTGCTGATGTAATGGAAAGAGCATGGGATTAGGGGAAAATAGGTTGAACAGACAAGTCCCTTTTCTATCTCCTAAGGAGGCATAATGGCACAGCACCTTTTATGTTGTGCTGCTAACTGAAAGGTCAGCGGTTTTAATCCACCAGTAGCACCTCAGGCGAAAAATTAGAAGTCTCCTCCCCCTAAAGCTCTCCAACCTTGCACACCCGATGGAGAGTCCCTGGGCATTGGTATCAACGTGGCAGCAGGAAGTGTGGGAGGTTTTCTTCTGTTGTTGTTTATTTCCTATCTTTTCAAGTGCCTTGGTGACTCAGTGGTTAAGTGCTTGAATGCCAGTGGAAAGGTTGGAAGGTTGAAGCCACTTACCACACCATGGCAGAGAAATGCAGCAGTCTGTTTGCATAAAGATTACAACTTATTCTACTTTGTTGTACAGGGTCAGACTCTACCCCACCTCTAACTTAGACTTCTACCCTCTAGGGAGCTCTGGTGCTGTAGTTTGTATGTAGTTGAGCTGCTAATCCAAAGACTGGGCCTCTCTGGAAGTTCAAATCCACCAGAGGTTCCTTGGGAGAAAGGTCTCCTCACATGTGATTTACAGCCTCAGACACCCAGTGGACAGTCAGTGTCGTGTCAGTGCTGACTCGATGGTGATGTGCTTTCTTTGAGAATCTTTAAGGAAGCCACTTGGCCAGGTCTTTTCACTCATGGAGCTCTGGTGGCTCCAAACAGCCAACCTTTCCATTGGCAGCCCAGCATTTGCTCAGTGTGCCTCCGGAGCTCCTTCATCTACAGCCTCTCAGACAGAATCCTCTGCGAGAAATGAGTGGCCTGGAGGCAAACGTGTTCTCAACTGTAGGCTGTAAGTAACGGTGAGTACAATTACATAGATTCTAACTCAAAGTAGCCCCATGATTGTCTAGGCTGTGCTATTTATAGGAGCAGAACACTGGACCTGCCTCTCACTGAGATGCTGTTTGACTCCAAACCACCAACCTCGTGATCACTGTTATGCACTGTTGAGTCAGAACTGACTCATAGCGGACTCTCTAGCAGGGAATCACAGAGGAGACTGCATGATAATCTTCATCCAGTGGAGCTGCTGGTGGATTTGAACTGGGTGGTTTGGGGTTGGCAGCACAATCCCTTACCGCTAAACCACCAGAGTTCTCTAAAACCTTTGGATAAGTGGTTGAAAACTTACCTCTTGGATATTTATTGACTCTTTATAGTCTTCTTTTTTTTAAAAAAAAACCAAAACCATCTTTGTTGTTGTTGTTAAATATCTGTGTAGCCTATGATGATAGAAACCATATCTTTCACTAAGGTATGGTTTAGGAACTTTCAAAAATCCCTTGAACACAGTTGATACTGTAACATATTTATTGCACAAATGAAACTTTTATGTAATTTAGAGAAATATTAAAGAATAACTAGTAAAGTTGGGTGGCAAGAACTAAAAAATTGAGGGTTGGAGAGCTTCTTAAACACATGAAGTTTTAAAAAACTTTAGTATTTTTCAATGGTTGATGATCTTTCATTTCATTTCTTATAATGATCTTTATCTATGGGGAGCTCTGTGGCCTAGCGTGAAGGAGCTGTGCTGCCAAGACAAGGGCACACAGTTTGAATCCAAGTGCTACTTGCGAGAAAGGTGGGTGGCCTCGTCCCCTGCGATTTACATCCCTTAACAACCTGTTTCAAGATCAGCTATGATCTGTCATTCCGTTTCCTAAACTTATCTTCATTTATAATCCCTCAAAAAGAAGAGATTACAAACCTGTTATGCCCTGGGCCAAAACCGGACCCCCGGAGTTGGTCTTCAAAGGAATGGAATTTAGCCTGGCATGTTCGTATGTAGGATGCTTTTCCAAGTCCAAATCCCAAGATACCAGCAACTGCAAAAACAGGTTATGAAAAGTGGATCAGGAAAAGGTTCAGAACTTTCTCTTAATCCTCTTCCAGCATTTTCTTTACAGAGAGAGAGCTACGTTGGCATAGTGGAAAGAAAGTTATGCTACCAAGCCGAAGGTGGGTGATTTTAATCTGTGGCCCTCAGGACGGGTTAAAATTGTTTTCCTGTCAAACATTCTTCTAGGTGGTATAGCACTGGTCTGTGCATTGCTGTACAGAGTTAACTTGTGGTTGCTGTGATGCTGAACACTGTGACAGTGATGTGCCAATTGTGGTAATGGGTACCCATGGTGGACAGTGTTGGCTGGAGCTTCCCGACTAAAACAAGCCTGGAAGCAGGAGCAGCTCTACTTCCGAAATGGCTTGCCTCTGGAAACTATGTAAGAACAGTGCTCAGGCTGTTCATTCATAGAGTTGCTATGAGTCGTCTACGACTCGACGGCACCAAACAACAACAACAACAACAACAACAACAAGAAGAGTTGTTGTTGTTTGTTGTCATGTGCCATCGAGTTGCCTGCAACTCATAGGGCCCTATGTATAACAGCCCTAAACCCTGCTGCCTCCTCCTTTGTGTTTCCATACTTGAGGGCTCAGCCTCAGTTGCCATATCTGCTAGTCTAAGTGTGCTCTATTGTACACAAGGTTTTCGAAGTTTGCTATTTTGGAAGCTAATGGCCAATCCTTCTTCCTAGTCTGTCTTAATTTGAATACTCAGATTTAGAACGGTATCTGACAGACAAGTAATAATTTTTATTCTCAAGTATTAGGATAAATTATTGAACCAAAAAGAAATCTCTAAGAAGGACGCTCCCATTGACTTACAAAAAACCAGATAGGACTTGGAGAAGGTGCAGCCAGAATGTTCACTGGGGGCAAATTTGATATAGCTTTGTCTCACATACTTTGGGCACATTGCTAGGAGAAACTATTGCTTGGATAGGGACATCATGCTTGGAAAGGTGGAGGGAGGGTGAAAGAGAGGAAAACCTCAACCAGGTGGAGTGACACAGTGACTGAAGCTCCAATGGGCTCAAGCGTGTCAGAGATTGTAAGGATGGCACAGAAGTAGGACAGGGCTCAGGTCTGTTGTTCACATGGTCACTGTGAGTTGTACTAGACTTGATAGTACCTAACAACAACATTAAAAAGTGACATTGGGAGTCGGGGACTTTGGATTTTAACTAAAGATACAGAGGTCAGGAGGACGTAGGCAAAAGTATTGTCTCCGAGCCAGGAAAGGTGAGGGTGGAATAATCAGGAGTCAAATGGTGAGGTCTAAGTTGTGGCTGTGGGCAGCCTCTGGACACTGAGTAAGAAGACCACTTAATCCCCTTTATGGACTTGGGAAGGACAGAGCAGGAAAGAGAGGTCACAAAGAAGAGGGGGCTTTTAAAAAAAATTAATTTTAATGAAAGTTTACAGACTTAGGGCCTCCAGTCATTCACTGTTGCATTTTTCTCCCTGCCCCCCACCTTTCCTCCTTGATAAGTAAAAGACAGACTGGTGGGTTGATTATGACATGATGTAGCAGTATACAGCTGGGCTCCAAAGGATATTCAGTCACTAGTAAGGGAGCTCTGGTGGCCTAGTGGTAAGCAGCTGTGCTGCAATCCCAAGGGTACGTGGTTCAAATCTACCACTGCTCCATAGGAGAAGGATAAGCACAATCTCCTCTGTGTGCTTTACTGCCTCTGAAACCACACTGGAGGGTCAGCTATGGGTTGGTTCTGACTTGATGGCCCAGAACAACAACAGTAGTTTCTTGAAGGGAGCTCTGGTAGTCTGGTGGGTAAAGAGTTGTGCTGCCAACCTAAAGGCAGGCAGTTCAAACTCACCAACTTCTCCTAGGGATAAAGACAGAGAGTCTTTGCCTATGTAATTTAAAATCTCTGAAAACCCACTGGAGGGCCATTTATGAGAGTCAGCTCTTGCCTCTTTCCCATTTCTTTATTGTGATTTTAACAAAGGTTTAAAGAAAGGCTGGGTTTTCATGAACTTATTGTTGCGCATTTCCCTCCTTCCCTCTCCCTCTTCCAGTTCACTTTGCAATGCACTTCTTTTTCCAGGTTGTTGTCATACATAAAATGTCTAATTATACATTCCTCTCTATCAGCTCTTCCCTTCATATGTCCCAATGTAGTGTTCATTATCTACCCACTTTTTTCCTAGTTCCCCTCTAACTTCCCATGTCAGTCCTATTTTATATCAGTGCAGTATTTGTCCTTTTATGACTGAGATAATTCACTCAGCATAGTATCTTCCAGGCATTGTTTTTCCGTGCTGCATAATATTCCATTGTGGGAATGTACCATAGTTTTTCTATCCATTTGTTTGTTGATGGGCACTTGGGCTACTTCCATCTCTTCACCATTGTGAATAATGCAGCGATAAACATGAGTGTGTATACATCTGCTTGAGTCATGGCTGAGAGTCAGTTCTGACTTCAAAGCACATAGTAGCAATTTCTTAGAAGTAGATCAATAGACCTTGCTTTCAAAACATTTCTCAGTGGACTTGAACCTCCAACCGTTTGGAGGTTAGCAGCTGAGTATGTTAACCTTTTGAGCCATCAACTATGAAAGCAATCTCTCCTGTGACTCCCACTGGGAATAACCTTTCATATTGCGAACTGGAATACATCCTCACTGTACATAAAAGGGCTATGTATATAAACTGGAAGAAAATGAAAACTCAAGTTTATAATAAGTTTGTTGCTATCTTAAAAAAAGACTAGTTCTAAGAAGAATATAAAAATCACTAAGAATCCACCATCCAGTGGCTCCACTGTTGACATGTAGTTAGAGATCCTGCTAGATCTTCTTGGGGAGCTGCAGTGGCGGAGTCCATAGAGAGTTACACTGCTAACTGAAGGTTGAGCTTCTCTGGTGGTTCCAATCCAACAGCCGGTCCTCAGGAGGAATATGGGCACTCTCCTGATTTATAAGAATGATTTACAGCCTTGGAAACTGCTGGAGGGTCAGTTATGAGTTGTAACATTTGATATCAAAGATATAACATTCTTTTTAGTTTGTGTTTTAATGAGAATTATATAAGGCCATCTAACACTTGTGAGAATTACATCAAAAAGTCTTCAAAAGAAAAGCAAAGTGGCAAAAAATGAAGACTGAATTTTTCAGTCAATACAGGCAGCTTGGTTAGCTTGGGACATTTATTTATTTATTTTTAAATTTTTTCATAAAGTCTTTTTAATGGAAAATGTAAAACCCCTTTCAACTTTAATGTACAGGGACATTTATATTATAAGCTGCTATAAACATTTTTTTCTCCCAGCATAAGTCTATTCCCCCCCACCCCATGTTTATGACTTACGTGCAACTTTAGGCAATGATCCAAATCTTGGATTAGATGCTAAATAACCTAAAGAATAACATATAAATACATTATTCATTTCATAACTTCTTAACATTTATAAAAAAGACTTAAAATCTTAATATACTGAAATGTGAAAAAAACATTTATCTATAGAGTTGCTTTTTTAAGAAGCTATGGATGAATTCTTGGCCCACATAACCATCTTAGGCAAGTAGTACACATTAGCTTTAATTTGTAGAAAGAGAATATAAGAGACAATTTAATACTAAAGACATCAAAATAGTGCTTGTACTTCGGTTCAAAGCAACTAGCCATTACTATTCCATTTCCTTCAAATTAACTCCACATAGAAAGTTTAAGCTTAGAAATTTATAGTTGTTGCTGTTATATGAGTTGTGTATGACTCATAGTGACCCTATGAACAATAGCTCTGAACCTTGACTTATCCTGAGCCAGTCCTCCAACACATCTACCCCTATTATCCCAGTCATTGTGTCAATCTATATCATTCGAAGTTTTCCTATCCTGTTCTGTCCCTCAACCCTTCCAGGAATGATGCGCCCCTCCTCCAGAGGACTGGTCTCTCCTGCCCAAGGTATGTGAAACAGAGCTTCAAAATCCTGGACCAAAAATAAGGATAACAAAGGAATGTGAGCAGCCTGCACAACTTGAAAAGGCAAAGAAACAGATTCTTTGCTAAAATTTCCCACAAGAAATGCAGCCTTGGTGGGTGACACAATGATTTTATCCCAGTGAGACTCATTTCTGACTTGTGACCTCCAGACCCTCTTTATAATCAATCTGTTTTTCTAAGCCACTCACCTTGACGTCACTTGTTATAACCGTCAAAGTAGTCTACAACACAGATCTAAAAAAATATTCTTGCATTTGTAAGAGATGGAAGATTTCTTTACTAGTTTGACATTGTAAAACAGAATAGTCATGATTATCCTTGCCATATTTTTGCTGCATTTAAAATAAGTTCGATAAAAGCATGTTATGATTGATGAATGTATTTCTAAAAGAAGAATATCTTGATGTATAAAAATCAAATCATTTTTGTGAACAAGTGTAATATTGAGCTAAATGAGATTCTCCTAGAGAGTGAGACATAGGGACCTTGAGACCCTGAAAAGGAAGGGAACATCTTCCCTCATGTTTACTGGTGGGTACGATGTTTCTTTCCTTTTTAAATTTTTTTTAGTACCAGTTTATTTATAAAATTCCAATACATTATTTTTACATGAGATCTTTCCCATTTCCCTCACCCCCCCATCAAATTGTACGACCCTGTGATTAACTCCCCCACCGTCCCACCCGCTCACCCCTCTGCTTCAACCTTTCCCCCACCCTGCACCCCTTGGATCTTCATACTTATTCTACAGTAATGGTTTTATATAGTATTTGTCTTTGTGGGACTGAGTTAGTTCACACAGCATAATGCTCTTCAGTCCCTCCCAAGTTAGGTAATAATTTACAAAATCATTGCTCCTATGTGCTGTGTCGTAGTCCATCGTGTGAATGTACCATAATTTCTCAATCCATTTGATTGTGGTTGGACATCTGGGATGTTTCCATGTTTTGTTTAAAGTTCTAGTCATTTCCTGTTGTGGCTAGGTTGTAATTAGTTTCCGTTGTGCACGCTCTTGTAACAAGTCTGTACAGCAGACAGAAACCCTGCTAAATCCTGTGCATGATTCTTAAAAAATCTGATGTGCTCAAACCCATTGTTGCAGTCACTGTATACATGCATCTCTTTGAAGGTCTTGCTCTCCTTCACTGACCTAATCTTCTAAGTCTAACGCCCTTTCCCAGTGGTTGCCATCTGCTGATAACCTGCCTGAACTATGTGAGATGAAGTAACTAGTGAAACCAACAGTATTCGATAAAATGGACTTAAAGAGGGTCAGATGCCTTATTATTACCTGAATACTAAGAAACGTCTTTGGATTACTGGCCAGGGGCTGGCAGAGAGGAAAAAGCAAATGAGTAAGCAGAGATAGGAAACAAAACAAAACTATGTGGAAGAGTGAGGTTGGTGTGGAGAGATGCAAGGTGCTTGCTGAGGCCCACAGGCTGTTAGAGGAATTAGGTCGCTGCAGCCTCTCATGGGGACGTGCACTTCAGCTGTTGTCCCTTCTCAATGTCCCACTGTGCAGTGACCAATTTCCCCGACCACATACAGGAGCCCTGGGAAACACAAGGTCTCTGATACAGGGAAAGGCTCTGTATTAGTTTCTGATGGCTGCTTTAACACATTACCACAAGCTTAGTGGCTTAAAAGAATATTTACCCTGTGGCTCAACTTTCAGCCAAAGAGTAGACAGGTGTACTAAGGCAAACACTAACACCAGGGAGATACTCAATCCTTAGAATGATCAATCGCAAGATCAAAATGGTTTTCCCAGGGATAAAGATCAGAGATGGCATGGAAGGGCCTCACAGAAGGATCATTGGGAATCCCAGCGAGGAAGTGGAGGAAAGAGCAGTGACACTGTGAGAATTGCACTTAATGTTCTAAAATGTGTATGAGGGGTTGAATGGAAAACCAATTTGCTTTGTAAACTTATACTCAAATGACAGTTTAAGAAAGAAGAAATGTTTAGTAGTATTACAGGAAATTAATCACCTTTTTTTTTTAAAAAAAGAGCACATATTTATTCTCTTATAGCTCTAAAGATCACAAGTCCAAAATCAGTCTTCCTATTGTTATGTGCTGTCAAATTACCTGCAACTCCTAGTGACCCTATGTACAATAGCTCTGAACTCCACCCTATCCTCAGCCAGTCTCACTGTCTTTGATAGACCTACCCTATTTATGCAGTCCCTGTCAATCCATTTCATTCAGGGTCTTCTTTTCCTGTGCTATCCCTCCACCCTTCCAAGCCTGATGTCCTTTCCCAAAGACTGGCTTTCCCTGGCAACATACCTAAAGTATGTGAGGCCGAATTTAAAAATTCATTGCTGGTTTCACCTTCTCCAGGACAGATCTGTTTATTCTCTTGGCAGTCCATGGTACGTTCTATTCTTTTCTCCAGCACCACAACTCAAAGGCATCTATTCTTCTTCTATCATCTTTACTGATGTCTAGTTCTCAGATACATAGCAAGTAACTGTGAAGACCATGGCCTGGATCAGATGCACTTTAGTCTCTAGACTGAAATTGTTGGTCTTCAGCACTCTGGAGAGGTCCCTGGCAGCAGATTTTTCTAATGCAATTCATCTTTTGATTTCCTGAGTGCTGGTGCCAAGAGTGTCTTACTGGGCTAAAATAAAATTATATGCAGAATTGTATTCCTTCCTGGGGGATCAAGGGGAGAATTCTTTACTTCATTCTTTACATTCATGTCTAAAGGCCATCCACAGTCCTTGGCTTATGGCCCTATTCTTCCTTCAAAACCAATAGCATTGGGCCAAGTCTGATCTCTCTGCCATTTTCCTCTTTCACTTCTAAAGACCTCTGTGATTACACTGGGTCCACCCAGACAACCTGGGATAATCTACTTTAAAATAATTTGGTTGGCAACAGGTCCTGAGGATTTTTGCACATATTTTTGAGAGCTGTTGTTCTGTTTATGATAGGCAGTTGGACTAGAAATAAACAAAAAGAAATAAACAAAATACTCCCTCTATCCTACATAAACACCCTCCCCCCCAATAAATGCCCAGCACTAAATAAATTTCTGGGAAGGACATAGAAAACTGGGCTGTCTTATGTTAAAGTACTCAACCTTTATAAGTACTTACCTTTATGCACCAGTCCTTGCGTGACAAGCATGCTTACAAGAGAAAAAGGCAGAGCTGTAAAACAAAAATGCCCTTCAATATTGGTAGTTTAAAAGTTGACATCTCATAGAAATTGACTATAAACTTGACCTTTGTCCTATCTTAGCAATGAGTCTTTTCCATTTGCTCTTTTAATTATTTATTACTATTCCAAACTATTCTTGGAATCTGCCCAATGCATTCAGTTTGGCACACTTAATTAACTTACCAAGAACCAAATCCAAGCTAAGGGAGCTCTAGTAACCTAGCTGATAGGGAGATGTGCTGCCAAAGGTAGACAGTTCAAATCCACCAGCTGCTCTGAGAGAGAGATGGACAATTTCCTCCTGAGTGATTTAGAGCTTCTGAAAACCCAGTGGAGGGCCAGTCAAGAGTTGGTTCTGATTCAACAGCAATGCATTTTTTATTTAAGTCCATAATACTCTGTCAACTTTGACTCATGATGAATCATGGTAACATGTGTGTCAGAGCCAAACTGTGCTCCACAGGATTTTCAAAGGCTGATAGTATGTGTGTTCCATACAATCATTTCCATGCATTGTGTTTTATAAAATCAATCACCATATAACTGAGGATGATTTTTCAAAAAAGCAGATTGTTAGGTCTTCTTTCTGAGGCAATTTTGGATGGACCTGAATCTCGAACTTTTCAGTTAGTGATTGAGCATCCCTCAGGGATGGATGTTGCTTTCTACACAGAACACAAATCATACATATAAGTGTATGTACACTTAGATGTTGAATGTGACAGTTTCCATTAACTGTAGATTTTTAAATTTTCAGGTCTATATATGTTAGAGAGCTCTGGTTGCGTAGTACAGAGCGAGCTGTTTGAATCCACCAGCTATCTGTGGGAGAAAGATGGGCAATCACCTCTCGTTACAATTTACAACCCTGGGAACCCAATGGCAGTGAGTCAGAGCCAATTCAACAGCAGTAAGTGAATGAGTAATAGGTAGATTTTAAAACAGCATAAGAAATTCCTGCATCCACTTTGTTCAAGTTAATAGAAAGTGAACATTTTTCCAAATTTGTTTTATCTCTTCCTATTTAATAGTTTTTCAAGTTAGTTTTAATTGTAAACATCCTGTCTCTTAATCACTAAATATTCCAACAGGTAGCCTCTAAAAAGGAGGACATTGCTCCACATAATCATTAGCAAATTTAAGAATGAAAATGTAAATATGATGAAATGAACTAATACATTATCTATATTAAAATCTCCCCAAGTGATCCAATAACATCCTCTGTAATTTTGTTTTCCAACTGTGGAAGTCAAGGATCACAGATTTCTTTTCATTATCATTTGTCTCTTATATGCTTTCATTTAGGATAGATCCTTGATTTATACCTTTTTTTTTTTAAAATCTCTCACAACCTTTTGTCCCGCAGTTTGAACCTGCCTGTTTTCTGAAGATTATATTCATGGTAAACATGTGTGATATTTAGCTGTGATTTTTAAAACATGCAATTCATTTAGTCTGGTGAAGACTCCAGTTTTTCAAATTGTGTTAAATAAGCTTTTCCAAAAGCAGAGAGCAGTAATAAACATCTAGCACTTCTTAACAACCAAGACAAATCAAATGGCAACGGATTTTTCCATCCCACTGCCTGCTGGTAGACAAATGGGTCATACTGAAATGACAGCTCACTGGGGCTCACAATTAAATTATGTACTCATGGATGTCAGAAGAGACACGGATTTCTAGGATTATAAGCAGAAATGCATAGTGAATAAGGACTTTGAGAAAGTATTACTTCTAACAAAGTTGAAAATGAATCTGAATAGTTTAAGGACAGAAAATGAAGATTTCTAAGTACAAATTGATCCCTGTATCAGCAATGTTGCAAAATAGCAAAGGTCTACCTTTGGCTTTGCTATGCCATTTTCTTTTCTTTTCTTTTTTTTTTTTTTTAAATAATTTTAATGAGCATTTACAGAGATTTTGGATTTCCATTCATTCATTGCTGCACTTCTCTCCCTGTCCAGCCTTCCCCCCCACCCCCCAGTTCGCTCCTCTCTTTCAAAAGTAAAAGAAACACTCCTTCCCTGGTACACAATCTCCCCCACCCCTGCACCCCTCCCACCAGCCCAAGTACATTCCACTATGCAACCTTAATTGTGGACTCTTGTGATAACTGCTATGTCATTTTCAAGTGATGAATCACAAATTTTTAAAATTGTAATTAACCTCAGCACACAGCTTGATCTTATTAAGGCTGGGCCAGAAAGAGGAAGCAGTTCAGGTAAGGCTATTTCCAAGACAATGCAAGAGAAGTATTAACGAACTGCTACCATTTATCATTCACTCAACAAATATTTCTGATTTTCTGTGTGTGAGGCACTGTGTGAGGCTCTGGGGAGAAGTGGTGAATTCGGTATGGCTCCTGAACTCTGTGAAGCTTACTGTCTAGTGAGGCTGAGGAAGATCTTCTCTTTGCAAAAGAGTTCTGGTGGCCTGGTGGGTAAGGATTTGTGTACCCCAAAGGCAGGCAGATCAAATCCACTAGCTGCTCTTCAGGAGAAAGATAGGCAATCAATCTCCTTGGTGTGATTGACAGCATCTAAAAACTCGCTGGAGGGTCAGCTATGAGTCAGTTCTGAAACCATGGCAACGAGTTGCTCCTGTTGCCCTTTGGCAGTCCAGAAATTCTAACTAACAGTCCACTTTCTTGGGCACAGAGAGTGATAAGTGTGTATTGCTATTTGAAAAGTGAGGGAAAGTGACCCTTAATTATTGCCTTCTGTCCTAAAGAGTCCCAGCATGCATTTAAAGCCCCAAACAGTGTCAAACTTCATGAGGCATTTCCACAAAGTCCTTGATAAAAACCAAGTGATGACCATAATTCCAATATGACAGCCTTGGTAATTTATTACAGCCAATATGCTATTGCTCTTAGTTTCTGTTGAGCAGATTCTAACTCATGGCAATTGCCTGTGTGTCAGAGAAGACCCACATATCACAGGATTTTCAAGACCTGTCACTAGCCTGTCTTCTGAGGTGACTCTGGGTGAATTTGAACCTTTGAGCTAGTAGTTGAATGCTTAATCATTAGTTCCTCCCAAAGCCTCAAGCGAACACAGTATTAAAAAGATCAACAGGGGTACAATTACCTCTCTTCCAGAAACTTTCTTCTTGACATTCTCGGATAATCTTTACAATCTCTCCTCTGTGGATGTGGACTTTCGATTTTGGACAAAATAACAGGCTCTGTAAAGAAAGCTATGTGGTGAGTTAACCGAAATCATTGGAAAACTCATCTGCTTTGTTTGACAGGAAGGACACATCACTCTTGTTACACAGTGTGAATGTGTGCTTGCTGCCAGCACAAAGCAGTCACTGGTTTCAGGGAGAGCTTCCACTGCAAGAACTCTGGGTGGGCTCAGACACAGAAGAAATCCCAACTGGAAAATCAAAGAGTGATTCAGTGATGAAAGAGCGCTGAAGAGACATCTGGTCAGCCTGGACTCATTTCCTTTCTCATTGTCATGCCTCTGTCTAAGCAGTCACAGTACCTGCCATGCTACTCACAGAGGTGCTTCTAAGGGTTGGTAGGGATGACCCATGGTTTGGACATCATTAGAAGAGGTGATACTAAGCTGTTTCTGTCAACTACTGATGTTTCCATCACCAGCTATGTGAGATCAGCCAGCCAGTTAATATGAATTGTTGTTGTTAGGTGCCATGGAGTAGGACTCGTCATGGTCTTGTGAACAACAGACCTGAACCCTGTCTGATCCTGTGCCATCCTCACAATCTCTGACACACTCAAGCCCATTGCTGCAGTCACTATGTCCATCTACCTGGTTGAGGGTCATTCTCTTCTTCACTCATCCTCCACCTTTCCAAGTATCATGTTCTTCTCTAAAGAATAGCCTTTCCTAGCAACATGCTCAAAGTATGAAAGATGAAACTCAGTCACCCTTGCCTTCAAGGAGAACCCTGGCTGCACCTTTTTCAAGACACATATTTGCTCTTTTGGTAGTCTGTGGGATATTGAGCACATTTCTCCAACATTAGCTCAAAGGCGTTAATTCTTCTGCTGTCATCCTTCGTCATTGTCCAGCTCCCAGTTGTATAGGAAGTTATTGAAAAGACCATGATCTGAATCAAGCCCAGCTTAGTCCTCAAGCTAACATCACTGCTCCTCAGTAACATGGATAGGTCCCTGACTGCAGACTCTCCCAGGGCAATACATATCCTGATCTCCTGACTACCCTGGTAACAAGGGTATTGAGTGTGGATTGAAGTAAGATAAAGTTTCAATCTTTCCTCCATCTATCGTCATGTTGTCTGTCAATCCAGTGGTGACAATTTTTGTTTTTTTGATGGTGAGATGCAATCCTTATTGAAAGCTGCAGTGTTTGATCTTCTGCAGCGAGTGTTTCAGGTCCTCCTCACTTCCACCAAGCACGGTTGTCATCAGCATAATGAAGGTTATTGATGAGTCTTCCTCCATTCCTGATGCCACGTTCTTCTTCGTAGAGTCCAGTTTCTTGAACAATTTGCTCAACTTTCAGATTGAATAGGTATGGTGAAATAATACAAAGCTGGCACACACCTGTCTAATTTTAAACCATGTATTATTTCCTTTCTTTGTTCACACAATAGTATCTTGGCGTAGGTTTAAGTTTCAAATGACCACATCTAAGTATTCTGGGATGCCCATGCTTTCAATGTTACCATTATTTGTTACGACACACACAGTCAAATGCCTTTGCATAGTCAGTAAAGCACAGATAGGCATTCTTCGAGTATTTGCTTTCAGCCAGGATCCATCTTATATCAGCAGTGATATTCCTAGATCCACTGCCTCTTCTAAATCCAGCTTGTATTCATGGAAGTTTTGCATGATCGTCAGCAGTAATTTGCTTGAAGATTTGATAATCTCCACATTCTGTTGCATCATCTTTCTTGGGAATGAGGGCAAATATGGATCTCTTCCAGTTGGTTGGCCAAACAGCTGTCCTTTAAATTTTTAGCACAGCAAATTAAACCAGGAAATCATGCCACAATATCAGTAATATTATATGAATTGTACAGTAGGAGAGGGCCATCCATGGATTCAAACCACATAGTGTTAGCCTTTTTGAGAGCCTCCATGGGCCAAGGACATCTCTTGAAGTCAGTTTAAAGACTGAAATATGCCTGATCCAAGCCATGGTATTTTCACATGCATGTGGAAATTGGACAATAAAGAAGGAAGACAAAAGAAGAACTGATGTTTTGGAATTGAAGTGCTGGAGAAGAATATTGCATATACTATAGCTTCCCAAGAGCACAAACCTGGACATCTCATGAGAAGTGAGGATGATAGAACTTTACCTATATACTTTAGACACCTTACCACAAGCTAGTCCTGGATAGGAACAACAGACTCCGTAATGGACAGGGTCAGAAAAGTAGAGGAAAAACCCTAGTGAGGGAGATTGGCACACTGGCTGCAAATGCAGGCTCAAGCAAAGCAATGATTGTGAGAATGGGTCAGGACCCAATGGTATTTCTTTCTTTCTGAGTCAGAACCAGCTTAATGACACCTAACAACCACAGTGGTAACGTTATCTAAAAGACAGGAGTCAGACGTTTGGTCAGGAGTCAAATTCAGTGCTTACCACAGGCACTATTTTCTGGTTATTCAGACCTTTTGCCTAGTTGTTTTCCTTAAAATTTAGCTCAGATGTTGCTTTCTGGATGAAGAGAGGTATAGTATTTCCTCTACAGTATTTACAAACATGGTCTCTTCTTACTCAGAGTATTACAATATACAGTATTACAATTTATTTCTATTTCTGCAAGCATTTTTAGACAACGAATTTATCAAAGAACTACCTTTTAATTATTCTACATAGTTAACTCTTAATTTTGAACATCTGTATCTTGACCATTTGCAAGTGCTCTCCATATAATTTCTGGTGCAACAATTGATATAAAGTGTTGAAATCTGGTCAGTTCCCACCAGAGGCAAATCTCATATGCTGTAGAGTAGAACCGAGCTTCAAAGGGTTTTCTTATTTGTAGACCTCCAAGCCTTTAACCCATACTGCTACTGAGTGGGCTTGAACTAACAACCTTTGCTTAAACATTGAGTGTAAACTGTTAGTGTCAACAAGTAAAATACTGACATAACTAAAACTATAAAATTGAAGTTGAGTTGAAACTGACTTATAACTGATCCTTAAGCAAGTTTTCAGGGATAAATAACAATTAATGGCCTTGTGTATAGGGAGTTGTCCTGCTAACCCCAAGGTGGACTGTTCAAATCCACCAGCAGTTCTGCAGGATAAAGAGGTCTGAAAGCCTGCTGGAGGGTCAACTATGAATTGGCTCGATGGTGATTACAGAGAGTGAGATAAATATCTACATACAGCCAGCTGGCCAACTGACTGGAAAAGATAGATATTTGTTCCCATTCCAAAGAAAGGTGACCCAACAGAGGGTGGAAATTATCAAACTCTCTGGAGACTAAGGTGTATCTGATAGAGACCATGATCTTTGCTATAACTTGTTATGCATCAGAGAGTTAGACAATGACTAAGGAGTATTGATGCCTTTGAGCTGTGGTGCTGGAGAAGAGTATTAAGGGTGCCATGGACTGCTAGAAAAACAAACATTCATTCTGGAAAGGGTTAAACCGGGTGACTCCTTGGAGGCAAGGATTCTGAGGCTCCTAACATACTTTGGACATGCTGTAAGGACGGATCGGTCCTTGGAGAAGGACATCATGCTTGGTAGGGTGGAGGAACAGTGCAAGAGGGGAAGGCCCTCTATGAGGTGCATTGATTCAGTGACTGGGGTAATCGGGATGGGTGTATTGGAGATAGTGCGATCAGTACAGGACAGAGCAGAGTTTAGGGCTGTTGTACATAGGTTTGCTATGAGTCTTAAGCAACTCGATGGCACCTAACAACAACAACAACATCATTAATATCACATGCAAGCAAGATTCTGTTGAAAATTATTCAAAAACAATTAGAGCAATAGGTCAACAGAGAACTGCCAGATGTACAGGCTGGATTTAGAAGAGGTTGTGATACTAGGGATATTATAGCTAATACTAGATGGATCTTGGCAGAAGGTAGAGAACATCAGAGGAATGTCTATCTGTGCTACATTGACTTAGCAAAGGTTTTTTTTTCTTTGTTTTTTTTTTTTTAGCAAAGGTTTTTGACTGTGTGGATCACAACAAGCTATGGCTGACTCTGAGAAGAATGGGAATCCCAGAACATTTGATTGTACATATGTGAAATCTATGCTTGGATCAAGAGGCAGTTGTCAGAACAGAGCAGGGAGACACTGAATGGTTCAAAATAAAAAAGGGGGACCATCAGGGATGTATTTTGTCTCCATACTCTTTCAATCTGTATGCAGAACAGATCATCCAAGACGCTGGGCTGTATGAGGAGGAATGTGGCATCAGGATTGGTAGAAGAATCATCAACTATCTGCATTATGAAGATGACACAACCCTGCTTGCTGAAACTGAGGAGGACCTGATGTACTTGCTTCAGAAGGTCAAGGACTGCAGACTTCAATACTAATTGAAGCTCAACATCAAGAAGATAAAGATTCTCACCACTGGGCCAATTGGCAGCATCAGTATGGATGGGGAAGAAATTGAGATTGTCCACAGCTTTCATTTGCTTGGCTCCACAGTCAATACTCATGGTACCAGCAGCCAGGAAATCAAGAGACGAACTGCATTGGAAAAGTCAGCTGTGAGGGACCTCTCAAGAGTATTGAAGAGCAACGACGTCAGGCTGGAGCCTAAGGTAAGCCTGATCCAGGCTACAGTCTTCCCAATTACGTGCTTTGCATCAGAGAGTTGGACAGTGTCTAGGGATGATATAAAGAGAATTGATGCCTTTGAGCTGTGGTGCTGGAGAAGAGTGTTGAATAGACCACGGACTGCTAGGAGAACAAACAGGTTTGTCCTAGAGAGGGTAAAGCCAGAACGCTCCTTGGAGGCAAGGATTCTGAAGCTTCATCTGACATACTTTGGGCATGTTCCAAGGAGGGACTGGTCTTTGGAGAGGGACATCATGTTTGGGAGAGTGGAGGGACAGGGCAGGAGAGGAAGACCCTCGATGGGATGGATCGATTTTGTGATTGGGGTGGTGGGAATGAGTGTGTCAGAGACAAGGAGGTTGGCACAGGATACAGCAGAGTTTAGGGCTCTTGTACATAGGGTCACTATGAGTCACAAGTGACTT